GACCCCACCCCTTAGAGATTCTGATTTAATTGGTCTATAATGGAGCTCAGGAATCTGTAGAATTTTTTAAAGTTTCTTCTTTGATTCTCATGTTCAACTGAGCCTGGAAATGCCAGGCTGAATTACTATAGTCAGATTGGTTTCCTTATCAGCTTTCCAACTATCACACTCTTTCACCTCCACATCTCTGCTGTCCACCTGCATATACCCTGTACCCACTTTCCATCTGATCAAATCCTACCCACCCTCAAGACCCAGCTCATTAAACACCCAACCGGTCTCTACAAATATCCTCCCCAACCACAATAACCTGACAGCAGCCTCTTACTTCTGGGACTTCAGAAATGCTATTTGTCTTTCCAATTTATTTGGCACATCATTCTGTACCCTTCTTTATTGTTGCTTTGAATCATTTTTGACATGCTATTGTTATTTAATTTTTGTCGTATTTTTATTTGATAGGAAGACAGATTTTTGTCTCCTTAACTACAAAGAGAGTTCCCCCAGGGCAACAATGTGCCTTACTCTCTTTGGAGGACAAGTTCCTAGCTACTGTGTTGCATATTGCTGGCTTTAAAATAATCTACTCCTTTGATGGCACATATATAAAAGTTCTAAAAGATGCAAGATAAGATTTAATGTTCACAGAGTGCTTTATGACTTATAAAGAATTTTCACATCTGTGACTTCACTTGTTTGTCACATTAGCCCTATTAAATGTGTGCTATGTAGTATCCCCTATGTACAAATCAAGAAAATAAGGCATAGATAAGTTTAACAACATGACCAAGGTTAAACAAGTATTAAGTAGCAGAATAAGGAAAATAATTCAGGTTTATCTAACCCCAGAGTTTATGCTTTTAATTATTATGCTGTATTTCTTTATATATCATGCATTTAGCATTTATTTTAAATCCCTCAGTTTTTATTTTCAGTACATTATATATGCAAGCAAACATAAAAGAGCCATCTTTCTTCAGGACACAAAGCTGAGCACTGTAAAAATATTATCTCATCTGATTATCAGGAGGCAGAAGCAAATGATCCTAAGAAGTTTAGGGAGTGGGAGAAGGAGGAACCCGTGAGGGCAGGTGAAGTAGCCCCGCTAAGCAGAGGAAGCATGAATCCAACCTTAAAAGAAAGGTCGAAATACACTAGGAAGCCACAGAAAATAAAAAGAAGAGAGCACAAACAATTAAGGTTATGATAAGAATTTTGGCCTAGCCCTTCAGAATGTTTATGCTGAAGAGTTCCATACTGTGAGATAAAATCAGCTTGGTAGGGTGAGTCGAGGAGGAAGATCTTGGAATGCCAGGATAATTAATGCCGACTTGATCCCTCAGGCAATGGAGAATTAATGGGGTCATTTCCTCATTTAAGTACTTTCCCCGATAACATCCTTGAAATTTGGTTTATTGAGTCAATAACTGCCTTGTTATTCATGGCCCAAACGCTTGATTTTCTTTCCCTGCTGAAATCTACAAAACTGAAATATTATCAGGGTTAATAAAAATACCTAGCAAATCATCTGAACCATTTTCAGAGATGCTATTGCCACAGTTACAACTTCGGAAGAACTTTCTTACATCCTCTTCTGTATCACAAGACAAACCCACTAGAATTCCTTCTTCACTTTGGGTCTATGGCCAGAGCATTTCTTCAAAAAGTGTCCTGCTTCCTGAGTTAGAACACTTTAAGCTTAAAATGAGCAGAACTGAACAGGTTCTAAATGTGAACTAGTTTAGTTCAATCCAGTGATGATACTGAGGAATTCCAGTTGGGCAGGAAAGCTTGAGCTGTACAGATGAAACGAGTGACTTCAGAGGTTGAGAATTATGCCTTGTCTAGACCTATCCCTGAAACCATGAAAACTCAAAGCTTTCCAAAAGGCCTTTGCCCCTTAAAGGATTGCCACAGACGCCTGAACTAAAGGGGGGTGGCTCAGGGAGATTTGCCAGAACTCAGCAGTAAGCTCTAGGTTTCAGGTTCCAGGATCAAAACGAATTGTGAAAACAAGCAATTGCCTAACCTTACCTTCGCCTAACACACTGTTACCCACAGCATTAAGTTAAAAAATAATAATAACGAAATAAAATAAATAAGTCTCAGAATCTCATCTTTCATTATAAACCATCTTTCAGAAAAATAGAAAAAGATTTGTCCTCACATTTAAACTCTATTCAAAATGAGAGAACTAGGCCGGTGCAGTGGCTCATGTTTGTAATCCTAGCACCCTGGGAGGCCGAGGTGGAAGGATCGCTTGAGCTAAGGAGACCAGCCTGAGCAAGAGCAAGACCCTGTCTCTACTAAAAATATTAATAGAAAAAGTTAGCTGGGCATGGTGGTACATGCCTGTAGTCGCAGCTACTTGGGAGGCTGAGGCAGGAAGATTGCTTGAGCCCAGGAGTTTGAGGTTGCAGTGAGCTATGATGATGCTACTCTAGCCAGGAAGACAGAGTGAGACCCTGTCTCAAAATAATAATAATAAGAGAGAGCTAAAATTAAAATGTTTTTCTGTTATTTAACAAATCTTGTGAGCTTACCATATGTGTGGATTCTAAACACAACAGATGAAAAAGACACAGTTTCTGCTTGTATGGATCTTACATTCTAGAACAAGAGATAACATGAACTTCTATACCTCTGTAAACAAGAAAATTATCAGGTTGTGGTAAGTACTTTGCAGAGTGTGACAAGGTGCCTACTTCAAACTTGTTGGCCAGGGAAATTCTTTCTGAGGAAGAGATACTTAGACAAATCTAAATGACAGGAGGAAGTCAATCCCATGAAGGTATGGGGAAAGCATATACCACAAAGAGGAAATAATTAATGCACAGGTATATTCCATGAAGAAATAAGAAAGGCCACCCCTGCCCCCCAAACTCACCTGGACAATTATTATTATTTTATTTATTTATTTATTTATTTTTAAGACATAGTCTCAGGCTGGGCACAGTGGCTCACGCCTGTAATTCTAGCACTCTGACAGGCCGGGGCGGGCAGATTGCTCGAGGTCAGTAGTTCAAAACCATCCTGAGCAAGAGTGAGACCCCATCTCTACTAAATAGAAAGAAATTAATTGGCCAACTAATATCTATAGAAAAAATTAGCCGGGCATGATGGTGCATGCCTGTAGTCCCAGCTACTTGGGAGGCTGAGGCAGAAGGATTGCTTGAACCCAGGAGGTTGAGGTTGCTGTGAGCTAGGCTGACACCAGGGCACTTACTCTAGCCTGGGCAACAAAAGTGAGACTCTGTCTCAAAAAAAAAAAAAAAAAAAAAAGAAGCCCAAACTAGCCTACTGAACATGAGAGGCCGCATGGAAAGAGAAGCTCAATCACCCTAGCTGTTCCACCCACCAGCTACAGTCTTGCACGTGGTTGTCTTAGACTATTCAGCCTAGCCAAGCCACAGCTGACCTTAGCCACATGAGTGAATTGAGATCAGACCCAAAAAAGAACTGGGTCAACCACAAAATCATGAAAAGGAAATAGTGTTCAAGCTCTTAAATGTTGGAATGGGTTTTTGTTTTTGACAACTTTAGATAACTGATATATTAAGTATTAACTAGGAGATCTAAGTGACTTATATTTCATATCTAGGTGAATCTTCTACCAGTCCTATGAGGCCAATACTATTAATGACACATTGCAAATAAAGAACTTGAAGCTCAGTGAATTATTGTAACTTGCCCAAGGTCACCTACCAAAACAACAATTAAACCAGTTCTGTCTGGCCTCCAGAATATATTTATATCACTTATATCACTTTCTTTTTTTTTTTTTGAGACAGAGTCTCACTTTGTTGCCCAGGCTAGAGTGAGTGCCATGGCGTCAGCCTCGCTCACAGCAACCTCAAACTCCTGGACTCAAGCGATCCTCCTGCCTCAGCTCCGAGTAGCTGGGACTACAGGCACGCGCCACCATGCCCGGCTAATTTTTTCTATATATGTTAGTTGGCCAATTAATTTCTTTCTATTTATAGTAGAGACGAGGTCTCGCTCTTGCTCAGGCTGGTTTCAACTCTGACCTCGAGCGAATCTGCCGCCTCGGCCTCCAGGGAGCTAGATTACAGCCGTGAGCCACTGCGCCCGGCCTTATATCACTTTCATTCTATGATGATGTTTTAAATATGTGAAAGAAAAGAGGGGGGCTGGGCACGGTGACTCATGCCTTTAATCCTAGCACTTTGGGAGGCCAAGGTAGGAGGACTGCTTGAAGTCAGGAGTTCAAGACCAACCTGAGCAAGAGTGAGACCCCATCTCTATAAAAAATAGAAAAATTAGCTGGGTGTGGTAGCATGTGCCTGTAGTCCCAGCTACTCAGGAGGCTGAGATTAGAGGATCACATGAGCCCAAGAGTTTGAGGTTGCAGTGAGCTATGATGATGCCACTGCATTCTAGCCCAGGCAACAGTGAGAAACCCTGTCTCAGAAAAAAAGAAAAAAGGAAGTTGTGTGTGTGTGCAGATGGGGCTTTTAACATCTAATCCAGATTAATAGTGTTATTTTTCTATATGAAATATAATACTTTAGTTTTTATTTCTTTTTGTTTATTTATTTATTTTTGAGACAGAGTCTCCCTTTGTTGCCCAGGCTAGAGTGAGTGCCGTGGCGTCAGCCTAGCTCACAGCAACCTCAAACTCCTGGGCTCAAGCAATCCTGCTGCCTCAGCCTCCGAGTAGCTGAGACTACAGGCATGCACCACCATGCCCACCTAATTTTTTCTATATATATTAGTTGGTTAATTAATTTCTTTCTATTCATAGTAGAGACGGGGACTCGCTCTTGCCCAGGCTGGTTTTGAACTTCTGACCTCTAGCAATCCTCCTGCCTCGGCCTCCCAGAGTGCTAGGATTACATGTGTGAGCCATGGCACCCAGCCTACTTTAGTTTTTAGAATTTCAAGGAAATAACAGTGTATACAGGGAAAAAAAGAGGCAAATTTAAAATGCAAATAATTTATTTGTGAATTAATATACAGGTATATCAATCAATAGCTTACATTCAGATAATACCCAAACAATTCAAAAAACATAGTGCAATATTTTTTAACAATGCATGATACTGAGATACAAGATTCTCTACAAAGTTATAAAAATCCATCCCTCTGAATTTCTCTGATACCTTCACAAACTTAGAAATCACTAAACATTGTGCTCCCATAGGCACTCAAGTCACTTTGGCATTTTATTTCAAGCCAGGTGACCTCCTTCAGAATGGTTCCTTTTGCTTGGCCACACCTGGGCCCACTCAGGCAAATGAATTAATTGAATACCTATAGGTGAGAGGTTACACTCAATCCACTACCTCTTGAGCACCTAGTAGCTATCTCAGTGCTCGGTTCTATAGCAGAGACAAGTGTGGACCATGGTCTCTAATAAAGCCAAGAATGTGTGACAAGACTCAGCCACGTTCCCTCCCTTCAGCTTCTGTAGACATCAGGTGAAAGATCTGACAACCATTAAGGTAGCAGCTGTGGTCATCCATCCAGAAGGTAATCGCTTTAACTGACAGACCATGCTCCTACATGCCCATGAGTCATGATTAAAGGGACTGTTTTGAAGCCTTCCCGTGACTATGAGCAAATTGCTCATTGCCAGCCCTCGGAGCTGCCCATCTGATTTCTACCTCCCACACCGTATTTGGGGGATTTTTAAAAGAATAGGTTTCACACACTCACAATGTATCCAAAATTGCAGGCAAAATGAACATCTGAATTAGAGATAAATACCTTAGCCCTCACAGCTGCTAAAGTCCCCATCAGAGAGTTGTTTATAGCACCTACATGCTCATAGCTTCTCTTTCTAATCCAGATCCGGTTTCATTATATGTGCCTAATGATAAAATTGCTACTGATTGCCTTGGCAACATATCTATTTGCTAAAAGAGGAAATAAATTCTGAGCTTTAGTTTAGATTTTCTATCTGCCAGTTTCCTTATACTAATTTGGTAAATATTTCTAAAAAGCAATAGATATCAATAGCCTAGAAATAGTAGCAGAAGATATTTCATGGGAGTCGACCTTTATGAAGATGTTAATTTTTTTAATATGCATCAAAGAGTCTTGGTGCCATCAATGTTCTTTAATATTCTTCATTAAAATATTATTTCTGCTCTAACACTTATACTATATTTAGTCTCCTAGTAATATCCTGAATTTTTGCATATTGGAATTTCCCACATAGGAATGTATATGTGGTTAAATAAAGATTACTCTGAGGAAGACTTAACTGTAGATATGAAAATAAATGATTAGTGCTTCAAGGCAACATAGTGTGCAAATCAGATAAAAATGCAAGTTTAAAACACAAGAATTTCTGAATCCTTTTCGAAGGTTCACAGCAAAAGGTACTGTAGCCTTATAATTTGGTTATCTGTTATTTACATTTCACTTCAACATTCCTCTGCTTTTGCTTTCTTCTCTGATCAGATTCTGTTGGTAAATGAAAAACAAAACATATGGACATGTTTTAAAAACTGAACCCAAATACTAAAAGGTAACAGATCACAGAACAGCCAAATACCACAAAAGGATTCATAGCATTTTATTTCCATGCTTCAATTTGCTAGCTAGAAGCTACCTCAGGATTTACCCACAATTTAGGAAGTTAGGTAGGCAGCTTGCCCAAGAGACAAGAAGAACGTGACAGGACCTGCACTCTGTTGGAATATAAGCATATCTAGACTACCTTTGGGGGCACAATGCCAGAGTGCCAGAGTCTGCACACTTCTTCACCCTGTAATTAACTTTTGCAAGAGGAGTCTCGCCTCCAAAAGGACCCTTTTAAGGAGTTTATGTGTTTATCTTATTTTCAAAGGGATTATTCTACCGAACCATTAAATTCTGTGAGTATTCAAAAATCAACAACTTTATCTTGGTTTAGTTTGGTTTTCATTTATAAGGAATATCACAAGGCTAATGAGTAGACTACCTGTAATACATAACGTCTATGTGACTTGTTAAAAGGTAAGTTATCGAAAGAGTTTGAAAGCCTCATTATTACTAACAGTTGTTGAGCACTCATTATATACCACATAACATTCTTTTTATATATATTTTTTTTATTTCAGTGCCATGTAATGTCCTAAGTGCTTTTATGCATGATTCATTCATTCATCCATTCATTCGTTCAATATATTGCTATTGTCTACCTATTCTAGTTGCTGCCTGGAGAACAGCTGTGAACAAAACAAAAATCCCTGCTTTTGTGGTGTTGATATTCCACTAGGGAAACAATCAACAATTAAATAAGTAAAACATGGCCTGGCGCGGTGGCTCACGCCTGTAATCCTAGCACTCTGGGAGGCCCAGGCGGGCGGATTGCTCGAGGTCAGGAGTTCCAAACCAGCCTGAGCACGAGCAAGACCCCGTCTCTACTATAAATGGAAAGAAATTAATTGGCCAACTAAAAATACATACAAAAAATTAGCCGGGCATGGACTTTTTTTTTTTTTTTTTTTTGAGACAGAGTCTCACTTTGTTGCCCAGGCTAGAGTGAGTGCCATGGCGTCAGCCTCGTCACAGCAACCTCAAACTCCTGGGCTCAAGCATCCTCCTGCCTCAGCCTCCCGAGTAGCTGGGACTACAGCAGCGCCACCATGCCCGGCTAATTTTTTCTATATATGTTAGTTGGCCAATTAATTTCTTTCATTTATAGTAGAGACGGTCTCGCTCTTGCTCAGGCTGGTTTTGAACTCCTGACCTCGAGCATCCCCGCCTCGGCCTCCAGAGAGCTAGATTACAGGCCGTGGCCACGCGCCCGGCCTTATATCACTTTCATTCTATGATGATGTTTTAAATATGTGAAAGAAAAGAGGGGGGCTGGGCACGGTGACTCATGCCTTTAATCCTAGCACTTTGGGAGGCCAAGGTAGGAGACTGCTTGAAGTCAGGAGTTCAAGACCAACCTGAGCAAGAGTGAGACCCCATCTCTATAAAAAATAGAAAAATTAGCTGGGTGTGGTAGCATGTGCCTGTAGTCCCAGCTACTCAGGAGGCTGAGATTAGAGGATCACATGAGCCCAAGAGTTTGAGGTTGCAGTGGGCTATGATGATGCCACTGCATTCTAGCCCAGGCAACAGTGAGAAACCCTGTCTCAGAAAAAAAGGAAAAAGGAAGTTGTTGTGTGTGTGCAGATGGGGCTTTTAACATCTAATCCAGATTAATAGTGTTATTTTTCTATATGAAATATAATACTTTAGTTTTTATTTCTTTTTGTTTATTTATTTATTTTTGGACAGAGTCTCCTTTGTTGCCAGGCTAGAGTGAGTGCCTGGCATCAGCCTAGCTCACAGCACCTCAAACTCCTGGTCACAGCATCCTGCTGCCTCAGCCTCGAGTAGCTGAGACTACAGGATGCACCACCATTGCCACCTAATTTTTCTATATATATTGTTGGTTAATTAATTTCTTTATATTCATAGTAGAGCGGGACTCGCTCTTGCCCAGGCTGGTTTTGAACTTCTGACCTCTAGCAATCCTCCTGCCTCGGCCTCCCAGAGTGCTAGGATTACATGTGTGAGCCATGGCACCCAGCCTACTTTAGTTTTTAGAATTTCAAGGAATAACATGTATACAGGGAAAAAAGAGGCAAATTTAAATGAAATTTATTTTGTGATTAATATACAGGTATATCATCAATAGCTTTACATTCAGATAATACCAAACAATTCAAAAACATAGTGCATATTTTTTTAACAATGCATGATACTGGATTTACAGATTTCTACAAGGTTATAAATCCATCCTCTAGCCTGGGCAACAAAGCGAGACTCTGTCTCAAAAAAAAAAAAAAAAAAAAAAAAAAAAAGAAGCCCAAACTAGCCTACTGAACATGAGAGGCCGCATGGAAAGAGAAGCTCAATCACCCTAGCTGTTCCACCCACACCAGCTACAGTCTTGCACGTGGTTGTCTTAGACTATTCAGGCCTAGCCAAGCCACCAGCTGACCTTAGCCACATGAGTGAATTGAGATCAGACCCAAAAAAGAACTGGGTCAACCACAAAATCATGAAAAGGAAATAGTGTTCAAGCTCTTAAATGTTGGAATGGGTTTTTGTTTTTGACAACTTTAGATAACTGATATATTAAGTATTAACTAGGAGATCTAAGTGACTTATATTTCATATCTAGGTGAATCTTCTACCAGTCCTATGAGGCCAATACTATTAATGACACATTGCAAATAAAGAACTTGAAGCTCAGTGAATTTATGTAACTTGCCCAAGGTCACCTACCAAAACAACAAATTAAACCCAGTTCTGTCTGGCCTCCAGAATATATTTATATCACTTATATCAAAAAAAAAAGATGACTTACCTTTGGGGCACATGCCAGAGTGCCAGAGTCTGCACACTTCCTCACCCTGTAATTAACTTTTGCAAGAGGAGTCTCGCCTCCAAAGGACCCTTTTAAGGAGTTTATGTGTTTATCTTATTTCAAAGGATTATTCTACGAACCATTAAATTCTGTGAGTATTCAAAATCAACACTTTATCTTGGTTAGTTTGGTTTTCATTTATAAGGATATCACAAGGCTAATGAGTAGACTACCTATAATACATAACGTCTATGTGACTTGTTAAAAGGTAAGTTATCGAAAGAGTTTGAAAGCCTCATTATTACTAACAGTTGTTGAGCACTCATTATATACCACATAACATTCTTTTTATATATTTTTTTTTTATTTCAGTGCCATGTAATGTCCTAATGTTTTTATGCATGATTCATTCATTCATCCATTCTTCGTTCAATATATTGCTATTGTCTACCTATTCTAGTTGCTGCCTGGAGACAGCTGTGAACAAACAAAAATCCTGCTTTTGTGGTGTGATATTCCACTAGGGAAACAATCAACAATTAAATAAGTAAACATGGCCTGGCGCGTGGCTCACGCCTGTAATCCTAGCACTCTGGGAGGCCGAGCGGGCGGATTGCTCGAGGTCAGGAGTTCCAAACCAGCCTCTGAGCAGAGCAAGACCCGTCTCTACTATAAATGGAAAGAAATTAATTGGCCAACAAAATACATACAAAAAATTAGCCGGCATGGTGGCGCATGCCTGTAGTCCCAGCTACTC